ATCTACAATAACCGCTAAATCCACAGTCCCTGAGCCCACTACCCTAAACCCTATACTACCGTAAACCCTAAACCCTAGACATCAAGGTCTGGATAATTAGTCACAAACTAGCTAGCATTAAACCCTAAACCCTAAATTCTAAACCCTAGAACCTAAACCCTAAATCCTCTATTGGAAGACCTACATGAGACACGTAACACCAGAGGCCCGTAAGCTCTAGGCCCCAAACCCTAAACCCTAAACCCTAAACCCTAACTGTAGCCTTTCGGTATTCTGTTTTGATATTAAACAAACGGACGCAAAACAGCAGAGGCCTGCTGCTGCTGCTGCTGCAGCAGCAGCATAGGACATCGTGTGCTGCTGCTGCGGCAGCAGCAGCGGGAGATAGAATTGTTTTGTTATTGTTGCTGCTACCCTTGCTGTCGCTTTTGCTGCAGCATCCGCTGCTCCAGCACCTGCTGCTTCTACATTGCTGCTGCTGCTGCATTGCTGCTGCTGCTGCTGCTGCTGCAGCGCTTGCATTAAAAACAGATAAAGACACAAATATAGTACCGGAAGAAGACAAAACCCTAAACCCTAAACACCCGAGTCTGTCTACCCGACAAAACCCTAAACCCTAGAGGGCTATTGCTGCAGCAGCTGCTGCTGCTGTTGCTGCAAACTTTTCTCCCTGTTGCTGCTGCTGCTGCTGCATCATCTACCCAAGTCACACAATTTGTTAATGCGCAGCCGCAGCAAAGCGCACGTCTCCTTGCACTGCAACCACAACAAACCCTAAACCCTAAACCCTAATCCCCAAACCCTAATCCCGAAACCCTAAGCACCAAACCCTAAACCCTAAACCCTCACTCACCAGGAGCATCTGGGTATGCAGATGAGAGCCAACAACCTTCGAGTCTTCAAAGGAACCAAAAAAGGTAGTTAGTGCCTCGTATTCCTGTAAACCCTCAAAAACCCTAAACCCTAAACCCTAAACCCTAGACTCTCATAGCCTTCATATAGCACCCCAAGGATAAACCTATTCCTGATAAGATAAAATTCTCTATTCCTGTTCCTGTCAACTTCCCCTAAACCCTAAATCCCAAACCCTAAACCCTAAACCCTAAACCCTAAACCCTAAACCCTACTTTGAGTGCTGTAGCCATACAATGTAGACATTCTTTTTTATTTCTTCCCATTTGTGCGATCATTTTACTTCTTTTCATTTTTGCGGCAATTAATGCCGCTCGTAACTCAACAGATAATTCAGTTACTGGGTCAGCACCCCTCTATACACAAACCCTAAACCCTAAACCCTAAACCCTAAACCCTAAACCCTAATTTTTAGAAATTTTTGAGTTGTTAGAATGATACAAAACAAAACGTAACTCTAACAAGGAATAGACACCTTAAAGAACCCCACAAACACCAAACCCTAAACCCTAAACCCTAAACCCTAAACCCTCGGCATACCATTTCAAATGTACGGATGAATACAGTGAAGTAATGCGCGCTTCGGGCAGCGAGTCCATGCAATTCACCACACTTGCGCAGGCCTGCAGCAGCAGCAGTAACAGCAGCAACGGCAACAGTAGCAGCAATAGGATCAGCAGCAGCAGCAGCAACAGCAGCAGAAGCAGCAGCAGCAATAGCAGCAGCGTGGCAGTCTTACGATTGATTTCATCTTCTTGGACTTTTGTCGGATCCAAGGCTAAATCTGAAACACAAAACCCTAAACCCTAAACCCTAAACCCTAAACCCTAATACGGTGGAATACGGCAATCAATGCAAGGAGGTTCCTGAGGGTTTAGGGCTCTGACAGCGAGCCTAGGCTACACGATTGCCTACGGTCTACGGTCTAGGGTTTAGGGTTTAGCCTAAACCCTAAACCCTAAACCCTAAACCCTAAACCCTAAACCCTTATTCTTACCCGCCTCGTCATCATCCCCCGAGGGTTTTTCTCCCTTCCATTTGCAGATGTGAAGTTGTTCGTAGATATTCCCAAGCTCAAAGCACAGCTGCCGTCTGAGCCGCAAACCCTAAACCCTAAACCCTAAACCCTAAACCCTAACCTATGCAGTAACCTGTGTGCTCCCCTATGGAGGTTTTGACCCGTTTAGGGTTTAGGGTTTGGTGCCCTTTTTCTCTGCATAGAGAAGGGGTGTAGGGATTGAATATTAGAGTTTAGGGTTTATTATGTAGGGTTTGAAATTAGGGTTTAGGGTTTAGGGTTTAGGGTTTACACGAGATCAAGATAGAATTGAGGGTTTAGCTCAGCTGCTAGGGTTTCTAATAATTTGCATCTTCTCTGCAGCATCGCCATCACTCTCTTAATAGATCCTTCTATGTATATTAATTCCCTAATATACACAATCACACATTTGCTGCTGCTGCTGCTGCTGTTGCTGCTGCTGCTCCTGTTGCTGCTGTTGCTGCTGGTGGTGATGGCGGTGGTGGTGGTGGTGGTGGTGGTGCCGCTGCTGCTGCTGCTGCTGCTGCTGCTGCTGTTGAGGGGTTGGGCTTACTTGTATAGAGAGGATTGGAGGAGGCAGAGGCGCGTGTGATCAGTAGACCAGCTGTCTAGAGTAAATAGCTGCAGCAGCAGCAACAGCAGCAGCAGCAGCAGCAGCAGCAGCAGCAGTTGATTTAGCTGTCTCACGAGCTAGCGAGGGAGTCTTTGCATGGGAGGAGCAGCAACAACAGCAGCAGCAACAGCAGCAGCTACAGCAGCAGCAGCAGCAGCAGCAGCTACCTTGAGTGCAGCATTAGAGCAGAACATTGCTGCAGCAAAGAGACACCTTGGCCCATCAAATCCCTCAGCTACTGACAGACACCGCAGCCGCTGCAGCGACTCTTCCCTGCAGCAGCAGCAGCACCAACAGCAACAGCAGCAGCAGCAGCAACAGCCGCAGCAGTTACACCACTTGCTATCATGGCAACTTGCACAAATAGACTGGAAAACTCTAAACACTATCGATGCAAACCCTAAACCCTAAACCCTAAACCCTAAACCCCAAACCCTAAACCCTAAACCCTAAACCCTCACGGGAGATCCTTGAGGTCCGGCAGCAGAGGAGAAGTCTCATTCACAATCATCAGCTGTTTGTTCATCTGCACGAGCTCCTTAGACACCTGAGCAGCAGCAGAAGCAGCAACAGCAGCACAAACAGCAGCAGCTGCTGCAGCAGCAGCAGCAGGGGTCTCCGCAAATCTAACATCTGCAACAGCAGAAAGAATAGCAGCAGCAACAACAGCAGCAAAAACGGCAGCAACAGCCGCAACAGCAGCAGCAACAGCAGCAGCAGCAGCAGCAGCAGCAGCAGCAGCACTACAGACACCCACTGCTTGATGGAGATGTGGCAGCGAGATTGGTAGCAGCAGCAGTGTGCGCTCAGTCAGCAGCACCCATGACCTGCAGCAGCAGCAGCAGCAGCAGATGCAGCAGCAACAGCAGCAGATGGAGTAGCAGCAACAGCAGCAGATGAAGCAACAGCAGCAGCAGCAGCAGCAGCAACAGCTGCAGCATGCAGACAACACAGCAGTTGCAGCAGATGCTTGCCGTACATCTCTTCTTCTTTGATGCCATCTGCTGCTGCTGCTGCAGCTGCTGCTTCTGTGGGGTTAGCAGCAGCAGGCAGCAGCAGCAGTCGCTCATAGCGAGGCCGCAGCAGCAGCAGCGAAGTCTGACAGCTCGGGTGTCTCTGCAGCAAACCGCCAAAGTGCAGCGGCCAGCAGCAAATATCTTTGCTGCTGCTGCTGCTGCTGCTGCTGCTGCTGATGTCGTCACTACTGTCACTGCTGCTCCTGCTGCTGCTGCCAGCGCTAGTGCTGCTGGTGTCATTGCTGCTGCTGCTACTATCGCCTGGGCTGCTGCTGTTAATTTGTTGGGCAGCCTCGCTCCCTCCGTCTTTTTGCTGCTGCTGCTGCTGCAGTTGCTGCTGCTGCTGCTGGATGGTCTCCCTGATCTGCTGCTCTGGCAGCAGCAGCAGCAGATATGCATCCTCAACTGTAGAGTTGCAAACAGACAGCTTAGCTGCTTCCTGCAGCAGCAGCAGCAGCAAACACAGACAATAACTTGCTGGTCCTGCAGGAAAACGAACAGCAGCAGCAGCAGCAACAGAAGCAGCAACAACAGCAGCAACAGCAGCAACAGCAGCAGCAGAAGCGGCATATGAAGCTCACGTCTCTAGACAGGAGTTTCTCTAAATTCTCCCCCGGGTATTGTTCTTCTTGCTGCTGCTGCTGCTGCTGTTGCTGTTGCTGCTGCTCCTGCTGCTGTTGCTCCTGCTGCTGCTGCTGCTTCTTCTGCTGCCCTTTTTTATCTAATAGCTGCTCCTGCTGCAGCCATTCAGCAGCAAATTGGATGCCTTGCTGCTGCAGTTGTCTTGATGCCCTAAGACGAGTAGAATAGAGAGCAGCAAGTTGCTGCTGCAGCGCAGCAGCAAACTCAGCAAGTTGCTGCTGCTCGTGCTGCACTAAGGAGACAATAGGGACACAACCTAGATACAGTGTATCTGTTTCGTAGCTGTCTCCTTCTGCTGCTGCTGCTGCTGCTGTTGCTGCTGACTCCGAAGACTGCTGCTTCTGCTGCTGCTGCTGCTTCTGTTGCTGCTGCAGCATACGTCTTTGCTGTTTATCTTCTGCTGCTTCCTTAACAATTGCTGCTGCTGCATGCAGCAAGAATTCTGCTGTCAGCAGCTGCTGCTGCTGCTCCCAATAGTCTGCTAATCCTTCCATGTTGCGCAGCAGCTCGCGGGTATCAACAGCAACAGGAGCTAAGGCAAATAGTGCAGCAGCAGCAACCATGCTGCTGCTGCTGCTGCTGCTGGGAGTGGCGGTGGAGGTGCTCTTGCTGCTGCTGCTGCTGCTCAGAAGGGAGGCGCGCACAACTGATAACGCGGAAGTGCTGCTGTTGCTGCTGCTGCTGTTGCTGCTGCTGCAGCGGCAGCAGAGTAGAGCGGGGGGAGGGACTTCTGCTGCAGCTACGCGCAGCACATCTGCTGCTGCTGCTGCTGCTGCCGCTTCTCTGTATTCCTTATCCCAGTACTGCTGCTGCTGCCACAGGGCTTGCTGCTGCTGCCTATAGACATGGCGCTGCTGCAGCAGCTGCAGCAATGCTGCAGCAGATGCTGCGGCTGCTGCTGCTCCTGAATTGTCCTGATCCGTTTGCTGCTGTTGCTGCCCCTCCTCCTTCCCTGTGCTGCTTATGCTGCTAAAGCTGCTGAATGTGCTGCTGCTGCTGCTGCTGCTGTCCTGCAGCAGCGTCACCTGTGCCCCTACGCAGCTAGCCAGCAGCTCTTGAGATGCATGCACTTGCTGCAGCATTTCCCATAGATGCTGCTGCTGCTGCTGCTGCTGCTGCTGCTCTTTTTGCTGCAGCAGCAGCCTCTTGGCTTCCTGCAGCAAAGGGTTGATATTAGCATATGCTGCTGCTGCTGCTGCTGCTTCCCGCCACCGGGTGTATGTACACACTAAATCCAGCAGCAGACCAGCAGCACGCAGCAGCAAAGACACAGGAGAATAAAACAGCAGCAAAGGAACAGCAACACAATCAGGACAACCTGCTGCTCCTCCTGCTTCTCCTGCTGCTGCACTTGCTGCTGCTGCTGCTGCTGAGAGCACCCCTGCACTAGAGCACCCCTCTCCCTGCTGCTGATTGTTTCCGCATGTATCTCCCTGCTGCTGCTCTTGCTGCTGCTGCTGCTGCTGCTGCTGCTGCAGTCCCTCAAACTTAACAACTTTAGTCAGCAGCAGCAGCGCTAGCCGCAGCCGCTGCATGCCTTCTGCTGTTTCTTCTGTTGCTATCTTGCTGCTGCCTATTAATGCCATTAAATGCGACAGCAGCAGCAGCAGCCGCTGCTGCGGCAGCAGCAAGCGGCAACCAAGATCTGCAAGAGGAACTGCTGCTGCTGCAGCAACACAGGAAGCACAAAATCCATGTACGCAGAGCAGCATCAACAGCAGCAGCAGCAGCAACAGCAACAGCAGAAACAGCAACAGCAACAGCAACAGAAACAGCAACAATAAAAGCAGCAACAGCAACAGCAACAGCATAGCAGCAGCAGCAACAACAACAACAACAACAGCCAACCCAGCAGCAAAGTCAATGCAAGCAGCAGGAATAAGAATAAACAGCAGCAGCAACAGCAGCAGCAGCAACAGCAGCAGCAACAACAGCAGCAGCAGCAACAGCAACAGCAGCAACAGCAGCAGCAGCACCAACAGCTGCAACAGCAGCAGCACCAGCAGCAGCAGCAGCAGGTTGCTGACGTATTGTGCATGTTTGCTGCATTGATCTTCTTAATAGTTTATAACATCTTCTTGCCTTTTGCTGCAGCAAACTTCTTCCTGCATATTTACCAACAAATACTTGCTGCACTTGCTGCTGCTGCTCCTCCTCCTCTTGCTGCTGCTGCTGCTGTTGCTGCTGCTGCTGCTGCTGCTCCTGCTGCAGCTGGGGATCCTCCCAATCACTATCAAGAATTGCCCAATAACGAACTAATGCAGCAGGAAGCTCTTCGGTCTCAAAGGTAAGGATTTCTGCTTCTAAGCTGCTGCTGCTGCTGCTGCTGCTGCTGTTGCTGTTGCTGCTGCTGCTGTTGCTGTTGCTGCTGCTGCTGTTGCTGTTGCTGGTGTCGGTGTCGCCACTGGAGAGAAGATCTTCTGCTAGCTCAATCGCCTCAGCAATTCTCTCATTGGCAGACGCATCAGCTGCTGCTGCTGCTGCTGCTGTTGCTGCTGTTGCTGCTGTTGCCTTCGATGGCGTCTCTGCTACTGTTGTTGCTGCTGAGGCGCAGGGGCTCTTCTCTTGCTGTTGCTGCTGCTGCTTTGCCTCCGTCGGCAGCGGGTCAACTGGCGACGGCACCTGCTGCTGTTGCTGCTGCTGCTGCACCGCAGCGCCGGAGGCAGCAACTGACGGACTCATGAGCAGCAGAAACAGCAGCAGCAGACTAGCCCGGCATATATAGCAGCTGTCGTAGCCGCAGCAGCAGCTGCTGCTGCTTAAGTGGTGTTGAGTCTTATAGGTGCTGCTGCTGTTGCTGCTGTTGCTGCTGCTGTTGTTGCTGCTGCTGAAACAGTAACAAAAGAGGTCATTAATGTACAACAGTGAGCAATATTGCTGCTGCTGCTGCTACGGTATGCTGCAGCAGCTGCTGCTGCTGCTGTTGAGCGCTGCCGACGAGCGGGGCCCCGAAGGGGCCCCTACTGAAGCAGCAGTAGCAGCTGCAGCAGCAGCAGCAGCAGCAGCAGCAGCAGCAGCAGCAGCAGCAGCAGCAGCCTAAGTTTGTGTCTTAGATATATTTTCTTTTAATTATAGTATTTATAACAGTTTAAGCAGCAACTAATTTGCTGCTGCTGCTGCTGTGCTGCACCTCCGCCACCCCCCGCTGCAGTGCAGCGGCGACCCAGTCAAACCCTAAACACTAATCCGAGCAAACCCTAAACCCTAAACCCTAACCTGAGCAAACCCTAAACCCTAGTTTCAGCAAAGACTTAACCCTAATCTTAGCCAACCCTAAACCCTAATCTGAGTAAACCATAAACCCTACTCAGAGTAAATCCTAAACCCTAATCTACGACTACCCTAAACCCTATTCTACGATTACCGTAAACCCTAGTATCAGCAAACCCTAAACCCTAAACCCTAAACCCTAATATATCTCAAACCCTAAACACCGACCTTCTCAGTACCCAAAAAAAGATCTTGAGGATTTGCATAAATCATATTGAGGGTTTAGTGTTTTGCTGCTGCAGCAACCATATTATCAGCAGCAGCAAGGGTTTACGCGAGGGTTTACGCGAGGGTTTACGTCTTAATAGCAAGGGTTTACGCCCCCCCGCTATCCGTACACCCGAGAGGGCTGGGGTTTATACCCCAGAGGCACTGAGGCCTGCTGCTGCTGGTGCATCTGCTGCTGCTTCTGCTGCTGCTTCTGCTGCAGACCTGGCAAGCTCCGCTGCAGCTGCAGTAGCAACAGTCACACTGCTGCTGCAGAAGGACTAGAGGCAGCAGCGGTCACTGCAGCAGCAGCAGCAGCAGCAGCCGATGCTGCTCCACCGCTCTCGCTGCTGCTGCAGCTGCTTCTGCTTCTGCTGCTTCTGCTGCAGCATTTAAGCTCTGGTGTCTGCTGTTGTAGCACACAACCCCAAGGAGGGGAAAACGGCAGCAGATTTCTTTGCTTCTGCTACCGCCGCTGCTGCTGCTGCTGCTACTGCTGCTGCTGCTACTGCTGCTGCTGCTACTGCTGCTGCCGCGCGGGCGGGACAGCTCTGAGCAGAGTCGAATTTGAGGACGAAAGGAAGAGAGCAGCAGCAGCAGCAGCAGCAACTGCTGCAGCTACTGCAGCAGCAACAACGAACAACTGCTGCAGCTGCAGCTGCTGCTGCTGCTGCTGTATATTTTATCTATATCTAAGAGAGATTCTTTCTCCTTGTCTTTTTCTTCTTTTTCTTCGCGCCAATCTATTTCTTTTATTCATACACTGAGCACAAACCCTAAACCCTAAACCCTAAACCCCTAAACCCTAAACCCTAAGCCCCTAAACCCTAAACCCTTTTTAGGCATAAATAGAAGGCACTAAAACCCTAAACCCTAAGCCCTAGACTATTGAGTAGGCATAAACCCTACACTTGCTGCTTACCTCGAGCTGCTCTTGCTTCTTCCCGTCGGGTTGTGCTCCTGCTGCTGCTGCATCCGCTGCTCCTGCTGCTGCTGCATCAGTTGCTGCTGCATTAGCTGCTGCTGCTGGTGCTGCAGCAGGGGGTTTAATGTTGGGTATCTTTAGAAGAAATGGTGCTGCTGCTGCTTCTCGCGAATAGCTGAGGAGGCAGGAGATGGCGTCTGCTGCTGCTGCTGCTGCTGCTGCTGCTGCTGCTTCTGCTGCATCTGCTGCTTCTGCTGCTGCTGTTGTTGCTGCTGCAGCAGGTACTTTGCCAAAGTAGGAAAGGCTGCATTGTCTATAATACTCTAGCAAGGCTAGGCCAGCAGCATGAGAAGCTGCTGCTGCTGCTGCTGCTGCTGGTGCTGCTGTTCCTGCTGCTGCTGATTCGGTTGCGGTTGCTGCTGCTGCTGATTCTGTTGCTGCTGCTGCTGCTGCTGCTTCGGATTTCGTGGCTCCCTGTGCTGCAGTTGGCTCCCCTGCAAGTGTTGCTGCGCCTGCCGTTGAAGCAGGTGCTGCTGCTGCGATTGCTGCTGCTGCTGCTGTTGCTGCTGCTGCGTTTGGTGATGCATGCGCAGCTTCAACGGCTTCCGTAGCAGCAGGTGCTGCCCTAGCAGCAGCTGCAGCAGCTGCCCTAGCAGCTGCTGCTGTTGCTGCTGTTGCAGTTGTCGTTGTTGGAGACTCTGTACCGTTGCCGTTCGACTGCTGCTGCTGCTGCTGCTTCTTGGCTTGCATGTGCATAGAGACACTGCGGGGACGGCTACCGGGAATGAGGAGCCTGCTGTTGCTGCTGCTGCTGCTGCTGTGTGCTGCTGCTGCTGCTGCTGCTCTCCCTGGAGCAGCCGCAGCAAAACGTCTGCCAAGGGCACCTCTAGCAGAGGATAACAACCAAAGAGACATCATCTTGTGTTGTTGCTGCTGCTGCTGCAGTTGTTGCTGTAGCAGCAATCGGGGTATATTTGCTGCTGCTGCTGCTGCTGCTGCTACTGCTGCAGAGCGTTTGTTGACTTGCAGTCTGCTGCAGCAAAGCAGCAACAGCAGCAGGGCTAAACTCTCCACAGCAAATGACGACGCCGCCCCCACTGCAAGTGTATTAAGTAATACTGCTGCTTCTGCTGCTGTTGCTGTTGTTGCTGCTGCTGTTGCTGCTGCTGCTGCTGCAGCAACTCAACACACGGGCGAAGCCAAGGCGTCTACAGCACCGCTGCTGTCGTTGTTGCTGCTGTTATTGCCTTCCTTCCTGCTGCTTTAATAGTCAATAATAAGGATTAAGATTTATATATTAACTTTCAGCAGCAGTAGCTGCTGCTGCTGCTGCAGCAGCAGCAGCGGTTTGAGCCAGCCCCAGAGAGAGCGACCCCACCACTTGACTTCTAGCTACTGCTGCTGTTGCTGCTGCTGTTGTTGCTGCTGATGATGCTGTTATGCATGCAGCAGCAGCAAATTATTACTGATTTACTTATTTAGATATGTCTGCTGCTGCTGCTGCTGCCAGCTCCTGTTTTTTCTAGAAGACAAGAGCCGCAGCAGCAGCAGAGCCACAGCAGCAGCCGACTGGCATGAGCAGTAGCAGCGGCAGCAGCAGCAGCAGCTGCTGCTGCTGCTGCTAATGTGTTGACATCCTCATACGAATGAGGAGGAGTTGCTGCTGTAGAGTTAGCTGCAGGAAGGCATAGTAGCAACTGCAGCCCCCTAGAATCCAGCAGCAGCAGCAGCAGCAGCAGCCAGTGCTGCTGCTGCTGCTGTACCTCCCCAGCAAAGCTTTTGTCCCCTCATAAGACACCTCCAGCAGCAGTCGGGACGACAGCAGCAGAAGCAGCTGCACACCAGCGGCTGCTGCTGCAACACCTGCAGCAGCTCTAGCTGTAGCAGCCACAACAGCAGCAGCAAAGGCAGCAGCAGGACGCAGACTGCTGCCCCAACGGTGCTGCATGCAGCTAACAACGTTGCAGCAGCAGTAGTAGAGGGCCACCAGCAAGGATCGCAGCAGTTGCAGCAGCAGAGGAGATTCCGTCGGCTGTTCCTGCAGCAACCGCCACAAATGCAGCAGCAGCAGCAACTGCTGCTGCAGCAGCAGCATGATTTTTCTGTGGACTACCCCTTTTGTCCCCTGCTGCCAGACCCCTTAGACCCATCAAGAGACCACTGCAGCAATGACAGCAGCAGCTGCTGCTGCTCCTGCTGCAGCAACAGCAGCGGCAACAAGTGCAGCGTCTCAGCCCCGGCGAGTCTGCTGCTTGAATCACGCGCAATATGTGCGCAGCAGCAGCAGCAGCAGCAGCAGGAGCTTATAATGCAAGCCGTGTTGTTGCTGCAGGAGGCCGACGCACAGAAACTGCAGCAACAGGATAACCAACTGCAGCAGGAGCAGCAGGTGCCGCTGCAGCACTCGCGAGCTGCGCAGCAGCTGCTCCAGCAGCTGCTGCAGCACGAGCAGCAGAATCAGGAAGATGAGCATCTGCTGCAGCAGATAGAAGCAGCAGCAACAGCGCAGTGCACCTCAGGAGAATGGGTAGGGGATATGTTGTCCATTTGCTGCTGCCAGGAAGCAGCAGCAGCAGACATGCTGCTGCTGCTAGGGTCGCCAGAGCCGGAGCAGCAGCAGCAGTTGCTGCAGCAGCAGCACTTCATGCGCTCCCAGTACAGGCAGCGTGTGAAGCAGCTGCAGCAGCAGGAGAAGCAGCAGCAGCTGCTGGATGAGAATATAAGAAGCAGCAGCGCAGCAGCAGCAGCAGCAGCAGCAGCGGGATCAGATGACCCCAGTGTGCTGCAGCAGCTGCGCTCTCTTGTCTATCGCCACACCGCACTCAGCAGCAGCAGCAGCAGCAGCAACAGCGACAACAGCAGCCGCAGCGACAACAGCACCAACAGCGAGAGCAGCACAAGCGACAGCGACAGTAGCATCAGCACGAGCGAAAGTTGCAGCAACAGCAACAGCAGCAACAGCAGCAGCAGCAGCAGCAGCAGCAGCGACAGCAGCAAGTGGTATTTTGCTGCACTGTGGCTGCAGCATTCATTAGGGAGACACAGCGATTTGCTGCAGGTCCTGCAACGGCACCCGCAGCAGCAGGCAGCAGTAGACGCGCAGCTGCTGCTGCTAAAGGCGCATGCACTGGTGAGCAGCAGCAGCAGCAGCACAAGCAGCAGCAGCAGCACAAGCAGCAGCAGCAATAGTTAGTGCAAGCATATTGGCAGTTCAAGAGTTGTTGGTGCTCCACGTAACATAGGAGGGTTGCTACAGTTGCTGCTGCTGCTGCTGCTGCTGTTGCTGCTGCTGCTGCTGCAGGTGCGTCTAGGGAAGAGGAAGGAGGCAGCAGAACTGCTGAGTTTAAATGCGACGAGTAAAGACATTGAGGTAAGGGTTTAATAATTAGGGTTTAGGGTTTAGGGTTTAGGGTTTAGGGTTTACGGTGGGGTTTAGGGTTTAGGGTTTGGAGCGTGTGTTGGTTTGCTGCTGCTGCTGTTGTTGCTGCTGCTGCAGCTGCTAAGCTGGCAGCAGCTGCTGCTCGCTGGGGTGTACAGACAGTGCGAGTTCACAGAGCTGCAGATTGAGGCCTTGAGGAGCTGCAGCAGCTGCAGCAGCAGCAGAAGCATGACTGCTGCTGCTTTTGCTGCAGCAACAGAACTCTTAGGGAGGCACCTCTTGCCTCCAGAGGAGGGTACGTTTGCTGCTGTTGCTGCTGCTGCTGCCGCAGCTGGTGCTGCTGCTGCTGGCGCATCTGCTGCTGCTGCTGCTGCCGCAGCAGCAGCAGCTGCTGCTTCTGTTGCCATTGCTGATGTAGCTGCTGCTGTGGAATTGGTTGCTGCGAATGCTGCTGCGTCTCTATCTGTTGCTGCGTCATCGTCGCCACCGTTGCTGCTGCTGCTGTTGCTGCTGCTGCTGCTGCTGCAGAGCTAAATATATTTTCTACCTTGGCTTTGTCACAACAGGATCTATGCCTCAAGTACTGCTAAACCCTAAACCCTAAACCCTAATTAGAAAGCCTGCTAGCTGAAGGCAACGGGAACTCTAAACCCTAAACCCTAGCCACCCTGTGCTGCAGCGGCAGCTGTTGCAGCAGCAGCTGCCGCTGCTCATGCAACAGCAGTAGTAGTAGGAAGAGCAGCAGTAGCAGCAGCAGCAGCAGAATCTGCTTCTTTTGGATTGTATACTGCAGGTGGCTGCTGCTGCAGCGCGCTGAGCTCGGCCCCCGCAGCACCAAACCTCTGCGGCTCTCGCAAGTCAATGTAAGCAGCAGCAGCAGCAGCAGCAGCAAACAGCAGCAGCAGTCAGTGCTGCTTGGCATCAATCGACACTGTACTGCAATCAGAGCTTGCTGCTGCTTTTGCTGCTGTTGTTGCTGCTGCTGCAGACCGCTGGCGCCTTTGCTTTGCTGCAGCAGCTGCCATTGCCTTCTGCCTACAGCAGCTGTGGCCTCGCCTTCTCAAGGTACGCCTTGCCTCCACTGCAACAGCAGCAGCAGCAGCAGCAGCAGCAGCAGCAGCAGCAAATGCAGCACCATACATTCGTGTCCTCCCAGTAGGTTCTAGGGATTAGGGTTTAGGGTTTAGGGTTTAGGGTTTGTGCTCAGCTTTAATGCAAGGAGTACTGCACGACGAGCGCTGCTCGGAGGAAGAGCAGAGGAAGCCCTCGCTGTCTGCAACATGTAAACCCTAAACCCTAGCCAAACCCTAAACCCGTGCTAGACCCTAAACCCTAAACCCTTGCAACACCGTAAACCCTCTCTTGTTCATTGCCCTGCCATATTTCTCTAGCACAGTAAGCGCTACAATGCAGGCGGCGTCAAGGGTTTGGGGTTTAGGGTTTAGGGTTTAGGGTTTAGGGTTTGTGCAGTCTGCTGAATGGAGATCCTTTTGACTCGGATACGATACGCATAGCTTGCAGTGCAACTCTTTTGGCTCGTAAGCTGCTGCTGCTGCTGCTGCTGTTGCTGCTGCTGCTGTAGTTGGCGGTGCTATTGTTGGTGCTTCTGTTGCCGCCACTGTTGTTGTTGCTGCTGCTGCAATTATTGCTGGTGCTGCTGCTGCAGTGTGTGCGGCTTTATCCCCCGATGCTGTTGCTGCTCATGCGAGTGCCACTTTGTTTGCTGCTGCTGCTGCTGCTGCGCTGCAGCGCATGCAGTAGAGGGTTTGCAGCAGCTGCTGCTGCTGCTATCGAGAGCAGAGGGACGAAGCCATCGCATGCAGTGCTTCTCCACTGCGTGTCTTCTGGTAAGGTCCTGCTGCTGCTGCTGTTGCTACTGCTACTGCTGCTGCTGCTGCTGCTGCTTGACGGGATATAGCACTCATGGTGATTGTTGCTTGTGCTGCAGCGCGGGACTATTGAATTTACCTATGGGAGGTTTCGTGCTGCAGCAGAATCAGCAGCGTAAGCCTAGCAGCAGCAGCAACAACAACAGCAGCAGCAACAACGGTAGCAGCAGCAACAGTAGTAGCAGCAACGATGACCTTAGCAGCAGCAGTAGCAACAGACGTTGCGGTAGCAAGGGAGTCATGTGTTATTGATGCTGCTGCTGTTGTGTCTGCTGCTGCAGCAAGGCCATTCAACTAGGGGACAAGTCGATTGAGCTGCTGCTGCTGCTGGCTGCTGCAGACGATAGACTGCAGCAGCAGCAGCAGCAGCAGCAAATCAACTCAGGAAGGCTTGCGCTTGAGGCGATAGAAAGGCTATACCCATGGTAGGCATGCAATGACTACTGCTGCTGCTGGTCCTATTCCTGCTGCTGCTGCTGCAGCTGCTGGTCCTCCTGCTGCTGTTGCACCGATTATAGCTACGCCTTTTGCTGCTGTTGCTGCTACTCCTTCTGCTGCGTCCCATAGTGCTGTTGTCCCCGTGCTGACGCAAGAATGTACATTGTAAAACTGCTGCTGCTGTTGTTGCTGCTGCTGCTGCAGTTGCAGCGATGCTTTGCTGCTGAGCGCTCGAGTAGAAATGCGTCGGCAGCAAATGGCGACATCAGAGACTCTGCAGCGCAAGTATGGTGCTGCTGCTGCAGTGTATATACACCGCGCGTTGTAAGAAATTACCTGCTTGCTGCTGCTGTTGCAGATGCTGCTGCTGTTGCTGCTGCTGTCGCTGCTGCAGCTGATAATTGTACTTCGGGCAGTAACAGCATTCTGCTGCTGCTGCTAGCCGGCGGTGCAACATTTGCTGTTGCCTCTCCTGGTGCTGCTGCTAGTGCGGCTTCTACGAATACTGCTGCTGTTAATGTTGCTGCTACTAGTGCTGCAGTGTGGCTCTGCTGCTTCTGCTGCTGCTGCAGGGAGCTGCGGCCGAGTTGTGCTTTGCTGCTCAACGAGTTGGGGGTGCTAGCGGCAGCAACAAGGAAGTATGTTTTGCTGTTGCTGCTGTTGCTGCTGCTGCTGCTTCTTGAGGAACTTGACCTGACTTGCTGTTGTGTCAGCTCGTGCTTCTGCATTAGCATTGATTGCTTTTTATTGTCTGCATTCTGCTGCTGCCTGTGTTGCTGCTGCTGCTGCTGTTTCAGCTACAAGAACGCGCTGCGGTGGATGGAAAGGACTGTGTCTGTTGCTGCTGCTGCCGTTGGTGCTGCTGAGGATACACCCGGGAAGTGTCCTGAGTTGCCTCAGTACTTCGCAAACCTTGCAGTGTGCCAGCTGCGCGTGGGGCGTCTATCTGCTGCTGCTGCTGCTGCAGCAGCAGCATTACAAGCAGCAGCAAAGCTAGCGCAGCTAACTGGTTGCCCTTTTGCTGCTGCCGCTACATCCTTCCACGACTCTCTTTATGAGCTGCAGCAGCTGCGTAGCAGCAGAACGAACCCTGCTGCAGCGGCAGCAGCTGCTGCAGCAACTGCAGCAGCAGCAGCTGCTGCTGCTGCAGGAGCAGGAGGAGCAGCAACAAGTCCCCTGGTGGAGCATCTAGACGGGGATGAATTAGCATGCAGACACCTAAGAAGACAGTTTGCTGCTGCAGCAGACTCTGTGCTGCTTGTTGCTGCTGAGGCTTCCTTAGTATTGGGGATTTGCCATCTACGCAGCTCTAATGGAGAAGCTGCTGCTGCTCTCCTGGCATACGTACGCCTGCTGCTGCAGCTGTTGCTCCTGCTGCTGTTGCTTGTGGTATTGTTGCTGTTGCTGCTGCACGTAATGCTGCTTCGGCGTGTTGTGTGCTGTAACCGCACAAGGGGTTTCTTGCTGCTGTTGTTGCTGCTGCTGCTGCTGCACAAGTGATCCTGGTCTTTCTGCGTGTCGTAGAGCTGCCATGATGCTGCGGTTGCTGCTGCTGTTGCTGCTGCTGCAGGCAATAAGCCTAACGTGGGCTCATAAAACCCGAGGCAGCGGGCAGGCCAACTGGGTGCAGGCGGAAGCAGAGGCAGCAGCAGCAGCAGCAAACGCGGGGGTGGTTCAGCAGCAAAGCTCGCGGCTGCTGCTGCTGCAGCGCCTCTATGTTATGGCAGTAGAATCAGCGGACACAGCAACAGCAGCACCAACACAGAGGCCGACAGCAGACTCTGCTGCTGCACCCGCAGCAGCTGCTTCAGCAGCGTGGCTCCCCCCAGGGATTGAGAAAGAGATGATGCAACAACAGCAGCAGCAACAGCAACAGCAGCAGAGCCAGGTATATGCGGAGCAAAGAGAGCCGATGGATGAGGACGTCGCGCAATGGGCAGCAGCTGTGCAGCAGCAGCACCAGCAAGCCAAAGAAAAACTGCAAGAGCTTGCAGCATCCCTCATTTGCAGCAGCAGCAGTAGCAACACCAGCAGTAGCAGCAGCAGCAGTAGCAGCAGCAGTAGTGGCGACAATATGTAACAATTCTATAGAGTTTTGTTCAGCAGCAGCTGCAGCTGCTGCTGCAAACACAGGCAGTTTTAAACTAAAGGCAGCAGCAGCAGCAGCAGTACTGCTGTTGCTGCTGTAGCAGCAGCAACAGCAGCAGCTGCTGCTGCTGCTGTTGCAGGGTTTCATAGTGCAGCGGCGCGCATGGCTTTGGCCTCCGCTTCTGCGTAATCTTTTGGATCGAGTTGGCGAAGATTCACGAGTCTGCAGCAGCAGCAGCAGCAGCACATGTAGCAGCAGCAACAGCTATACAAGCACCAGTAGCAGCAATAGCAGCAGTAGTAGCAGCAGGTGCACCAATATCAGCACCAGTAGCAGCAGCAACAATAGAAGCAGCAATAGCAGCACCAGTAGAAGCATCTGCAGCAGATAGGAACCTTACGGCTTTAGTGCGTCTGCTGCTGCAGCAAGAGCTGCTTCTGCTGCTGCTGTTGCTGCTTCGCTGTTTAGACGGGCTTGCAGCTCAACTAGCCAACAGGGGTTCTCACTCCACATGGGCTGTGTGTGACTTGAATCCTGCAGCAGCAGCAGCAGCAGCAAGAGTAGCAGCAACAGCAGCAATAGTAATAGCAGCAATTCAGTAGCAGCAGCAACAAAAGCAGAAGCAGCAGGAGCAACAAGTAGCACCTCCACCCGCAGATACAGCCGTGTAGCACCAACAGTACCACTAGCAACGAAAACAGCAACAGCAACACCAGCAATAACAGCAGCAGCAGCAACAACAGCAACAGCAGCAGCAGCAGCAGCAGCAGCAGCTTACAAGGAAGTGCTGCTGGACGAGCAGAGTGACATGTCGATTCGTTTTTGGTTTGAAATGGAAAACATCAGCAGCAACATATATCGACCCTAAGCGTCTAAATAAATAAATAAATAAATAAATAAATAAATAAATAAATAAATAATTTAATTAATTAATTAAATTATTATTTAATTAATTATTATATTATAATTATCTCTATTATTCATTGTACCTTTAGTACAAAAAACGACGAAAAAATATGAAAAAAAAAATGACCTTCGTAAACCCTAATAAACCCTCATAAACCCTAATAAACCCTTATAAACCCTAATAAACCCTAAACCCTAATAAACCCTAAACACTAATAAACCCTAAACCCTATAGTAAACCCTAACCTGAATCCTAGAGCCTTAAGAACTCCTCTCATTGCTTGTGTTGTTTGTGTGCAGATAACTTTAGCTGTCTCTGCAGCTCTCCTTGCATGCAACCCCCCAACTAATACACCTTGATCTCGATAATATAATATGCTGCATATACACCCCAAAACCCTAAACCCTAATAAACAATTATAAACCCTAATTAACCGCTGGAAACCCTAAACCCTATGGTGTAAGGGAAGGGGGGTATATGGGGAAGAGAACAAGGGTTTATGGTCTAGGGTTTAGTCACTGCACTGAAATACGCTGAAGGCCACAAAATTAGGGTTTGGGGTTTAGGGTTTAGGGTTTGGGGTTTACCAAGTATCTTTAATCTCCTGAGGTTCGTTGTACCAACGCAGCGTCACCTCTTGAGGTGTCCCTGCTCGCTTCCTCATATCCATGCACCCTGCAGCAACAGCAACAACAGCAACAGCAGCAGCAGCAGCAGCGGTTGCAGTACCGATAGCAGCAACTGATGCAGAAGCAGCAACATAAACAGCAACTGCAGCAAAATCAGCAGGAACAGTATGATACCACCGCCCCCTAAACCCTAAACCCTAAACCCTAAACCCTAACCTGTGTTTTGTGGTGCTGTTTGTAAGGTAACATCCATCCAGCTGGATATACAGTGCACATCTGCTGTGCTGCTGCAGTACTGCAGCAACTTTTCTCTCTCTTCTTGTGTCTTTAGTATACCCTAATAAAACCACCACAAGCACAAGGGTTTAGGGTTTAGGGTTTAGGGTTTTTGTAGGGTTTAGGATTATATCGGTGCCGGGCACGAGCACAGAAGCCACTGCCACTGCTGCTGTTGTTGTTGTTGTTTCTGCTGCTGCTGCTCTCGTTGGTGCTGCTCTTGCTGATGCTGCTGATGCTGCTGCCGTTGCTGCTGCTGCTGCTGCTGCTGCTGCTCACCCGTAACCGCATCTCCGTATATACAGAGGGGCTGTCGGATGTCTGGGCAGCTTGGCCTTCCCCCTTCGCATCTTCCCATCCAGAGAATAAAGAACTCATTACGGGCTATATCTAGGGTTTAGGGTTTAGGGTTTAGGGTTTAGGGTTTATGTTGTGGGCCCCTAGCGGGGCCGGGGGGCCCCCGAAGGTACAGACAACAAAGACGAGAGGAATAACTCAAACCCTTCTCCGCACATCTAAGAGGTTTAGGGTTTACGGTGTAGGGTTTAGGGTTTAGGGTTTTAACAGACGAACCCTAAGATCGCTGCCAGTTGTTGCTCGTGATTGGCTGGAGCCTTCCTGGGGCCCGCCCGCTGCAGCAGGCGTCGCTGCTGCAGCTGCTGCTGTTGCTGCTGTTGTTGCTGCTGCTCTTGTCGCTCCTGCTGCATTTGCTTCTTTTCTTGTTGAGTCTGCACTCGATTAAACTCTTAAGAAAATTACTTAGAAGCTTAGGACACTCTTGTCTGCCTACCTTCTGCTGCTGCTGCTGCAGCAGCAGCCGCTCCTCCTGCTGCTACTGAAGCTGCTGCTGCTGCTGCTGCTGCTCTCCCTGCAGCAACACAGCTTCCTTACAATTTGTAGAGTTGACGCTGCAGCACCGCATCCGATGCTGCAGCAGCCTCTTCGCTACTATGGCCGCATCGGCAGCAACAGCTGCTGCTGCAGCAGCAGCAGCTGCTGGTGCTGCTGTCTCAAGGTCTAGGAGGGGGTTATCTCTTGTGGTAGTGGTGGCGGTGTTGCTGCTGCTGCTGCGGCCTTCTGCTGCTAATGCTGCAGCAGCTGCTTCAGGGGCTGAAAGTGGCGGTATGACCCCAGCAGCAGCGATGTCAGCTGCTGCTGCTGCAGCCGGTGGCAGCAGTATCAGCAGCAGCAGCAGGAGCAACGACAACAACAACGACAGCAGCAGCAACAGCAGCAGCCTGATATATGATGTTGAGCTGTCTCCTGGTGCACATAACGTAATGGTGCTGCTGCTGCTGCTGCTGTTTGCTCTGTGGCTGCTGAGTGTGCTGCCAAGATTATTTTCTTTGCTGCATATTAGGAAGCATCTTGAAATGCAACCGGTATGTTGCTGCTGTTGCTGCTGCTGCTTCTGTTGCTGCTGCTTCTTTTGTTGCTGCAGCAGTTGCTGCTGCTCTTGCTTCTGCGTTGTCTGGATATCTTTGTCTTGGTATAACTACTGTATGGCAGATTCGGATTGTCACTGTTGCTGTTGCTGCTGCTGCCTTTGCTGCTCCTGCAGCCTTTGCTGCACCTCTGGTACTGCCTTTGCTGCTGCTGCTGCCTTTGCTGCTTCTCCAACCTTTGCTGCTCCTCTTACTGCTTTTGCTGCTGCTGCTGCGGTTGCTGCTGCACAGGAAGCGCTGCTGCTAGCAGGGTTTGGTCGTTACCGCTATGAGCTGCAGCAGCTAATGCGAGTACACTTTACCAAGCTGCTGCAGCACAACAAGCCTGCTGCTGCTGCTGCTATGCCTCTTGTTGAGGTTAAGGTATATTGTTATGATCCCCTTCCTCTAAATCAAGGAGAGGTACAAGAGAACGAGGAGCATCAGCAGCAGCTGCTGCTCATGCAGCAGCAGCAACAGCAGCAGCAGGAATTGCAGCAGGAACTGCAGCAGGAGATGCTGCTGCTGCACCAAACGGACTCCACAGGCCACAGCAGCAGCCACAACAGCTTCTTTAGTCCTATTGTTGCTGCCTACAGCAGCAGCAGCAGCCGCAGAGAGCGCAACAGCAACAACAGCAACTTACAGCAGCGGGAGGCCCTGCTCAGCAGCCCTTCCTCAACAGCTGCTGCTGCTGCTGCTGCATCCACATCTGCAGCAGCTGCTGCTGCTGCTGCACTTGCAGGAGGGGGATTTGAGGTGTCTGTTGATGCTGCAGCAACAGCAGCAGTTAGAGCCTACTGGGGTGTTGGTCAGAAGGCTATGGAGACCTTTGTAAACCCTAAACCCTAAACCCTAACTCCTAAACCCTAAACCCTCGCACCCTTAACTCAAACCCTCATCAGTGCTTATATAAACCCTTGCAAACCCTAAATACCGCCAGCCCTAAACCCTTGCAAGCGCAGCTGAATGCCCAGGGTTTAGGGTGTAGGGATTAGGGTTTAGGGTTTAGGGTTTAGGGTTTGGTTTTGTCTGTACAGATCAAAGGCAACAACAACAGTGATGGACAATCCCTCCTATCTGGCTCTGCCCGCCGCCTTGCGCGGCTGCTGCCGAGCAGCAGTAGCGACAGCAGCAGCAGCCGTAAGCCGCAGCAGCACCAGCAACAGCAGAATCAGAAGCAGTAGCTTTGGTGCTGCTGCTGCAGCAGCACTTCTTGCATGCGCGCATGCATGCATCCTGTTCAGGAAGGGCCATGGAGAGTCATCTGTACTTGCTGTTTTTGTTGCTGTTGCTGATGGGAAGTAGCTCACATGCATGCATGCTGCTGCTGTTGCTGCTGCTGCTGCTGCTGCTTGCTGCAGGCCGTTTCAACACAGGTACATTTGCTGCTGACAGTGCAGCTATGCCGTGGGGCCCCGATGGGTGCTGCCTTATGTCTGCGCCGCAGATGTAAGCGCTGATCTGCTGCTGCTGCTGCTCTTCTTGCTAGTCTACAGGTGGTCTTGCTTCTGCTGCTTCGCTCTGCGCTTGGAATGCTGCTGCCTCATCATTCAGTGGTTTAGGGTTTAGGGTTTTGGGTCTCCAAGGGTTTATGGATTAGGGTTTAGGGTTTGGCTTGTTTGTGCTGTTTAGTGTGCCTGCTGGGAGGGGACACCGCCTTCGCTTCTTTACACATGATCGAGTAAACCATTAACCCTAAACCCTAAACCCTTGCGTAAACCCTAAACCCTAGGCCTTTGCCTGAAGTCCACAATTGGCTGACCTCGTCTAGACCCTCTTCTCGTCCCTAAACCCTAAATCGTAAACCCTAATCGTTTACGTAACCCCAACGAAACCCTAAACCCTTAGAGGTTTCTCTCCACCCACATATCCAAACATACGACAGCTGTTGCTGCTGTTGTTGCTGCTGCTGCTGCTGCAGGACAACACAGCTGGCCGATTGTCTCCGTTCACTGAGGCGGTCTTCCCGTTGGTTATCGTTGCATCTGTTGGCGGCTCCTCTGTAAGACAGCAACATGTGCAGCAGCAGCAGGAGAGGCAGCCGCAGCACCTGCAGCAACACCTGCAGCAGCAGCAGCCCCTGCAGCAGCTGCTGCTATGTCGGTTTCCTTGTGGGGCCATTAGGCGTGTGTCTGTGTGATTGTAGTTCTGTTTGGAGTGTCTGTGGATGAGACGTATCTTTGCTTCTGCTGTGAAGCTGCTGCTGTTGCTGCTACTGCTGCTGCTGCTGCTGCACTTACGATGGGTTTGTCTTTCAGGGAGAGAAGGAGCCACTGGTCACGCATAGTTTGCAAAGTAAAGGAGAGGTTTGTTGCGCTGGCTTTTGTGCTGCTGTTGCTGCTTCTGGAATTGCTGCTGTTGCTGCTGCTGCTCCAGGTCTCGTTGATGCTGCTGCTGCGGTATTCAACTTCCTTCCGTTGCTGTTTGGATGTATTCGAGTTTGCAAGCATTTTGCTGCTGTTGCAGATAAAGCAACGCTCTCAGCAGCAGAATCACACGCTGCTGCTATTGCTGCTGCTGTTGCTGCTATACAGGCTGCAAGCTGCGATTTGTGTGTTCAGGCAACTTGTCATTTGCTGTTACTGCGTTGTCGTCCATTGCCTCCTCCTCCTCCATCAACGAGCAGCAGATCTCGTGTATCTGCAGCGGAGGCAGCAGCTGCTGCTGCTGCAGCACCGCTGCCTGCATGTTACGTATCTCATCGCTATGAGGTGTACAGACAGCTGCTAGCAGGAGGAAGCTTAGATAAACCACAAGAGAAAGGGGACATCTTTGGTGTTAGCAGCAGCAGTGGCACATTAGACTTAGAATGCCTTGTTTGTATGACCAACCCTAAGAATGTCGTACTCTACCCATGCAGGTACACAACTGCTGCTGCTGCTGCTGCTGCTGATGTTTCTGCTGCTGTTGCTGCCGTTGCTGAGGGTTTTGCTGCTGTTGTTGCTGGTATTGGACCTGCTGCTTTTGGTTTTGCTGCTGGTGTTGCTGTTTCTGGGCCCGGTGCTGCTGCTGGTCCTGCTGCTGCTTTTGGTAGTTCTGGACCTGCTGCTGCTGTTGCTGGGCTGTTGCTTCTGGTGGATCTGTTGCTGCTGCTGCTGCTGCCGTCTTGGTGTTTAGGGTAGTCATGCATGTACTGCCCCACGGAGCTACCTGTTGCATGAATTGTCATTTTTATGCTGTTGTTGCTGCTTCTGCTGCTGCTGCTACAGGCACTGCGCTTTGTGCTTAGAGTGCCTACAGGCGCTGCACCAAGAAAAGTGCCCGGTTTGCCGTTCTCATTTCTTTGGCTTTATTACCTTTCCCCTCAGTAAGAACTTGACAGCAGCAGAATCTGTTTCTGTTGCTCCAGCTGCGGCTGTTGCAGACAGCCGTAACGGCGTAGTCAGCAGCGGCAGCAGCAACAACGGCAGCACGAATGTGCAGCACCACCGAGGGGGCTCAAGGGTAGTCCCAGTGAGCTAAGCTATTTGCAACAGGTGCTGCTGCAGCAACAGCAGCCACAGCTGCAAGTGCTGCTGCAGCAACAGCAACAACAGGGGCAAATGTGTATATGCTTCGTTGTGTATTCCCGTGCTGTCTGCTGCTCCCAACGGTTGCTGTAGAAGCAATCAACATTTGCTGCTGCTGCATTTGCCTCCCAATATTCCTGTATTCCGTTATTCAATTCCGACGCCAAGATCGAGGGCTTAGGGTTTAGGGTTTAGGTTGGGTTGGACTTAGCCGTGTTGACAGGCAGAGACACAGATGGAGACAGTGACGAAATATGCTGCACTGTTCCGGCTTCTTGTCGTGCTTCAAGAGGCAGCAGCAGCAACATATTTCGTCACTGTCTCCATGCCTCTTGAAGCACGACAAGAAGCCGGAACAGTGCAGCAAAAGCAGCAGCAGCAGCACTGCAGCACGCAGCTGCATAACGTTAGATATAGCGCAGTAGCATAATACAACAGCTTCGACCTCCGTCATCTCAAGTCAACAACCAGCAGCCTCTGCTGCAGCTTGCTGAGGTATGCAGCCACCCCAAGGGACTGCACAGGGGAGCACCCCTAAGTACATACGCCCCACGCATGCATAACATGAGTGCATGCATGCGTGCATCTATGTTGGCGCATGCATTCATGCTTATCTAGAGCAACTTTGGCGTTAATTGATCAACAGAGCTCTAGCGACTCCATTGAAGGGCCAGTGGGCAGGAGCGGTCCGGTCGTTGCAGCAGCAACGACCGCAGCAGGGAAGCAGCAGCTGCAGCAGCCGCATCGAAATGCAAGACAGCAGCACAATCGAAATGCAAAGCATCAGCAGCAATGGCAGCTGGGACTGGAACGCTCCCTATTTAACATGTTGAGGCACAGTCTCTCGCGGATAAGCACCAGCAGCTACACCAGCAGAAGCAGCAGCAGCAACAGCAACAGCAGCAAAAGCACCAGCAGCAGCAACAGGAGCGATTAATCAAAGTAGGCTGCTCCCGGTGCTTTTCTTGTGTATATGACTGCCGTCTTTCTAATGCCTGAGGAACTCCTCATGCGGAGAACGCGAGTTTGGTGGCGCGATTGCTGATGTAGCAGCAGCAGCAGCTGCTGCTGTGTTCCTCTAGAGCAGAAAACAGCAATTGCAACAGTATCAGCATTAACACAAACGTATAACTGTAAGAAAAGCCTCTTCCGCACTGTACAAGGCAGCAGCAGCAGCACTCGTGTTCTGTCTAGGAGCAGCAGCAGCAGCAGCAGCAGACAGGTTCAGCAGCAGCAGCAGCAGCAGCAGCAGCAGCACACAAGCACTTCCGCTGTGGTTCTTTGTGACAACTTGACTCTGTTATATATTCACGGATGTAATAATTTCTGCCATGGTGAATCTTATAGTACTGTTAGCAGTAGCAGGAGCAGCAACAGCAGCAGCAGCAACAACAGCAGCAGCAGCGGAAGCCTGCACGAGCACCTGGGACAGCCAGCATACATGCAAGACAGAGCCTTGAAGGAAGCAGGGGCTGCTTAAGTGGCTTTCTTTAAAAAAATGGTTTTAAAGGAATCAAATTGTTAATTTTGTTGCATTTCCTCCTGCTCATTAGAAGCAGCTGCTAGGTGCCATCTCCTTGCAAGACGGGTCACTCTTATTCCCCTGCTGCTGCTGCTGCTGTTGCGGATCGACGCTGCAGCAGCGAGGCAGGCGCACACCTGCAGCAGCAGCAGCTGCTGCTGCTCCCTTCCAATGGAACTTAATCTTTTCCTCTAGTTTTTTTCGAGCCAGCTTACTGCAGCTTGCTGCAGTTTGCTGCAGTGTCACCGAGCCAGTGAGCCACGCGGTCCTCAGTTGCTGCTGCTGCTGCTGCTGCAGCTGCTGCTGCTGTTCTGCAGCATAAGCCGCTGCTGTGTAAGTTTTATTGGTCCTTCACAACTCACACAGACAGTCCGGGGCTGCTGTACCCGGACCCTTTTTGCTGCTGCAGCGGCAATATCAGCAGTAACACAAGCCAGCAGCAGCAACTATCAACAGTAACACAGCTAAGAGCAGCAGTGATTCCTCCTCGTAGCACTCTTCTGCTGCTGAGTCATTGGACAGAGAGACTTAAGCATCAGCGCCGCATGCACCAGGCAGGCATATATACTGGTCGCCGGTTGCTGTCGCTACTTTTGCTGCCGCAGTGTGTAGTGCTGATGCTGCATTTGCATGCATTCACTTAAGGAGATTTAGGAGCAAGAGGGTTGCAGGAGAGACCGTAGAGTGGCTATGCGTCCCCTCTAGCTGCTGGAACAGCAGCAGCAGCAGCAGCAGCAGCAGCGGCTGCAGCAACTGCAACAGCGGCATCTTTAATATCTTCATGGGTGGAAGTTGGAGGCCTTAAAGGAAACCCAAGCAACAGCAGTTACAGCAGCACCTGCCGCTCCTGGTGCTGCTACTTCGTGTCCACCTGTGCTACCACTGCAAGGTAGATGCAGCGGATGGCCATCTTGCCCACGGGGATGGAAAACGCGGCGGCAGCAACAGAGGCAGCAACGGAAGCAGCAACATTATCACCATTATTAGCATCATCATTGTCATCATTATCATCATCAGCATCAGCATCATCAGGAGCTGCAGCAGCATCATGGGAGAATTGGCTGCAGCAGTGCATGCGTGGAAGATGGAAGGAATGGGGAGGGAAGCGCAAGACAGCAGAGGCGACTCGATAGGCAGCTGTTACACTCCTCAGTCCTTTAGAGCAGATGGATCTGAGGCTCCAGCAGCAGCAGCAGGAGCAAATCTGCTGCTGTTACTGCAGCCAGAGTCGAGTCATCCGTCGCAGAACGAGGATCCGCTTGAGCATGCCGACAGGCAAATGCTTCAGCAGCAGCAACGTCAGCAGCAGCAGCAGCAGCAACAGCAGCAGCTGCAACCGACGAAACGTGAGCGTAGCTCGAAGAGTAGACCGAGGTTCATGGCAGCAGCAGCTGCTGTTGCATTTGCGCTGCGTTCTTTGCAAAGACGACCCCAGCCTTCCCGGGATCAGGAGGGGCAGCAGCAGCACCAACACTGGCAGCAGCAGCAACAAAAGCAGCAACAGCAGCCCCTCCACCAGGAGCTGATTCTGTACGAAGGGACGGCAGGGCTTGCAGTAGAAGAGGGGTCGAATTCAGAGGCTGATTGGATAGCGAAGCAAAAACACGAGCAGCAGCAACAACAACAACAACCATGCCAGCAGCATCACCGGCAGCAGCAACAGCAACAGCAACAGCAGCAATATGGCTACCCAGGATCCTTGAGAAAGAAGCCTTCAGAGGCACCATGGACACGATTCCTTGGCAGGTGGGGATATCGTCCTGGGTCTGCTGCAGCTACTGCTGTTCCTACTGCTCCTCCTCCTACTTCTGCTGCTACTGCTGCTGTCGGCATTATGCCCAGCACGCGAGAGGTATATGAGGCAGGCACGGGCGACACCTCAGGCAGCCCAATGGGTGCTTTCGACGCTGTAATGCCTTTCAGCAGATTCTCGTCCTCGACGCTGTACCTGCAGCAGCAGCAGGAGCAACCCGAGGAGCAGCCACAGCATCATGAACATGATGAGCAGCAAGAAGTTGGCGAGCAGCAGCAGCAACAACATGAGCAACAGCAACAGCATGGGCAGCAGCAGCATGGCCAGGAGCATAGGCAGCAGCACGGGCAGCACGAACAACGAGAACAACAAGATACGACATACCATGTCGAGCAACAGGGCAACCTCTGCAGCATCGAGTCTTTCTTATCTGTTGCATCATCAGAAGACATGCCAACCCAGCAGCTGCCGCCGCAGCCGCAGCAGCTCGTGCTGCAGTTCTCTCGCTGCTGCAGCAGTGGCAGCGAAGCAGGAGCTCTGGTTTCTGCTGGAGAGACATTCGAAGAGGATCAGGCCGTGAGGGACCCTGCTGTTGCAGCAGCAAAAGCTGAGGAATTATCTGTGATATATTGCCTTGAGCCTCCTGTCAGGCAGCAGCATCAGCAGCAGGAAGAGTTCTCTGTTGAAGAGCCTTCCATTGCTTGGGAAGCAATTAACGTTGAGGGTAGCAGCAGCACAAGAGATCGCAGCACCGGCAGCAGCGGCAGCAGCGGCAACAGTAGCAGCAGCAGCGCGAGTCGTCTTGCACCAACGAATTTATTTGAGTCTACCTTAAGGGCCGAAGACTCAGAGGACGAAGACAGCGCGGCAGAAAGTTCGCCGCCTACTCCTGCAGTGGCTGTTGCACATACACAGCAAGCAGCAGCAGCTTGTGTAGTTGAGGCGGCAGCTGCAGCAGCAGACGCTGCAGCAGTGATGTTCGAAGCAGTAGAAGGGTTGCCAGCAGCTGCAGCAGCAGGCGATACAGAACCAACGGAGGAAGCTGTCGCAGCAGGAACAGCCGCAGGAGCAACAAAAGACCATGCAGCTCCCTTTCAGGAGCCACCGAGGTCCGCAGCAACACCCAGAAAGAGGGGTCCACCCTACAAGAGGGCGGGTGCCGTCGATTGGCTAATAGCGCAGCAGCAGCACCTTCAGCATCAGCTGGAGCATCAGCGGCAGCACACTTGTCAGGGGGCTGTATTGTCCCCTACAGAAGGCTGCAGGTGCAGCAGCAGTAGCATCCCCGGCAAATTGAGTGAAGCAGAAGTGGCGGCATTGCTACCACCAACTGCAGCAGCAGCACGGACAGCAGCATTCAGCAAAACAGGGACAGCTCTGGAGAGCAAAGGCGTTGTAAAGAAGGTGCAACATAATCACCTGCGCGTCCCTCGCCATCTGACGCTTGCTGCTGCACATCCGTTATGCCCTAGGCTAATGCATACAAAAATATCAGCACAGCAGACAGAAGCTCCCCCCCCCACAGCTGCAGCACGAAGCGAGGCAACAGCAGCTTTACCGGCCTTCCCGCTGAGCCGGGGACTGCGGGTCGCAGCAAGAGGGCCAAGGGGGCTCGAACGCCCTTCTCCCGCCGGAGATGTCTCTCTCAGGAGCTCGAATTACGAGCGACCTCCGCTAGTACAAGCACAGCAGCAGCTGCAGCAGGACCTGCAGCAGCAACAGCAGCAAGCGACGTCACACAAAGCGCTGAGTTGTACAGATCGGCCTCACCAGAACGACAGTCAAAGGGCGAGGACTGCGTCTGGGCGGCCGGGCAGTGCAGTGGGCCCAAGCGCAGCAGCAGCAGAGGACGCCTTCGAGGACATCACAGATCAAGACGAAGCAGCAAGGGCTCCAGCGGCGGGTGTGTTCAAGGGGTCGCCTCCCCTGTCAGCTATTGCAGTGTTGCAACAGTTTGGTTTTCAACTGACACCGTGGGAACGTAGTGAAATTCTCGAGTACCCAATTGTTTTCTATTGGGGATCTTTAAGGAAAAGGCCAGCAGGCACCGAGCGCGCATCAATTTATGGAGGCCCTGCCGCAGCTGCTGCAGCTGCTGAGGGTCGGGCTTTGGCAATTGCCTTGGGTCGGTCCCCAAATGGTATGTCTCAGTCCGCAGCATCAAGGGCTCTTTTGGGTGGGAGCGGTAGCGCTGCGTTTGGAGGTCTAGCTGCAAAAGGTAGCAGGAGGAGCAGCACTCTAAGCAGGAGCAACGGACAGCTCATAAATGCGACGAATGACAGCGCACGCAGCTACTTCTGCGACGCAGAGGGCGACTATGTAGTTTTTGCAAATGACCACATTTGTTATCGTTTCCAGCTGCTGCAGCCGCTGGGCACGGGTTCATTTGGGCGAGTGTTCCGCGCGTTTGATCACAAGACAGGCGAGGAAGTAGCTTTGAAGATCTTGAAAAATAAAAGCAACTTTCACGCCCAAGGGCGAGAAGAAGTTGACGTTCTCCAGCAACTATCTTCCCTGAATAGGGATGGGAAAGCCCATATCGTTCGGCTGAGAGAAAGCCACATGTTTCGTGGGCACTTGGTACTTGCCTTCGAGTTACTCAGCCACAATCTGTACTCGTTTCTGCAAAGCAACAAATTCCGAGGGTTTGAACCACTTGCCGTGAGGAGTTTCGCAGTACAGCTGCTGCGCGCACTGCGGCTGCTGAAGAGAGCTCAGATCGTTCACTGTGACCTGAAACCTGAAAACATCGCCTTGGTGGCAGGGCGCAAGAGCATCGTGAAGCTTATTGATTTCGGCAGCAGCTGCAGGGAAGGCCGCCAGCAGCACAACGCTTATATACAGTCGCGGTATTACAGGGCTCCCGAGATCCTGCTAGGCCTCCCATACGGGCCACCCATCGACATGTGGTCATTGGGCTGTGTCTTAGCGGAACTCCATACAGGTACACCACTGTTCCCTGGGGTGGACGAGGAGGATCAATTGCAGACAATTGCTTCATTGCTGGGTTTGCCCCCGACGGAGCTGATCTTGAGGGCTCCAAGGTCTTCAATCTTCTTTCAAAGAAACGCACATGGGAGCTTTTCTTTTCTCAATGCCCGCTCTAACAAACGAACCGATGAGACGCCCAGCTCCCGGAGGTCACCGTGCTACGCAAGTCTTGAAGACGCTGTCAAACCCGCAGAAAACGCCTTTGTAGACTTCCTTAAAGGTAATTACCGCCTCCACACTCCCACCTCCAGCCCCCTTATCATCATATACACAGCAACCCGCTACGCAACCCAAACACTAACCTGTGCTTTTATACTGCCTATGCTGTTGTGCTGCCTTCCCTCTCCCAGGATGCTTGCGTTGGGATGCGACCGACCGTTTGACTCCTCGGGAGGCTCTCCAGCACCCGTGGTTGCAGGAATTGCGGGCGCCGCGAGAGCGCCACCAACAGTAGCTGAACGACGCTCTGCAGCTTTCCTGCAGCTCTACGGGTGCCGCAACTGGCTGCAGCTAGCCGTATGCTATCCAGGACTATTGAGCAAGGACCACAATTAACATACACCTACACTTTGTTGCTGTTGCCTCAGGTGGCGCAGCGGCATGAGGAGCAGTCGGATTTGTTGGACATGTACAGCATGTGCAGCCCATACAATACAAATGGCTACCTTGTTCAGATGCACGCTTTCTGCGTGCTTACTAAAGTGCATACACGGTCGGTCAAGTCCTTCGTATCCGCTGCCCAGCCAGCGTTTGCACTTAAGGCTTTGGCTCTCATTTTTTTCATGTCGCGCATGATCTATTCATTTTGGGACTTTATATCCGCATTTGATAAGATCCTTTACCTTAACCGCGTCAACGCGCTAGAAAGGCCACTCTAATTGGCCATAGGAGTCAACTAGCAAGAACGCCTCACTGGTGCAGCTGCTGAATACAGTATGCTCCAAAATACTGCAAGGAAAAGAGAAGGCAGCAATGCTGACTGAGAGTGCCACTAGAAGAATGATAATGCTCCCACTCCCCCTACCAGCTGGGACTGTTGTGCTGGCCTGTGTCTCGTCGGACTCGTCCAAAGTGTATGAAAACGCCTTTCCCGCAGTTTTTGGGACTGTTATGTAACGACTAACAGGTTGACCGGTTTGTGCTGGATATGTGCGTCAATGCCCACATGCAGGCTGAGCCTGTTTGAGGACCCATAGCTCCTGCTACCGACGGCAGCATAGTGTGGGTGAGCACACCGTCACAAAGAGAAAGACAGACAATGCCCACTTTAGTTTGGTAGACACTTTAGGACTGTCAGTTGGACTGTGCAGACCTGCTATGAAACTATGGAAGAATGTGCAGTAGGAACCCAAGCAAAGGGAGCAAAGCGGCAGAATTGCCACATGGAAATATCGCCACACCCTGAAATATTGGGCGGAGGCTGCATTGAAACTTCTGAAGTTAACTCGTCTGTACCCCTGTAGTCGACGCAGAACTGTGAGATTGCTGCGTTGCTGATGACAAGAAATCGGATATCGGTCTTATTGACTCGCTTCCTGCGAACGAAGAGGCAGACACGCCAACCACAGATTCGGAAAATGCGTGCTAACGTGAACAGAACCTTGCTCAGGGAACCAAAGCGAACGCCTACTTTTCATAGCAAATGCAACTTTCCGCATAACAACGCGTATCCTATACGTTATTGCATGCAGGTAGACTCCACACAAATTCAACAACTGACTGGGCGAAGCACAATCCTTAGGCGAGGGCGAGGGTTTAGGGTTTCCCATGTTGCAAGTACTTTGCCATGCCTATCACTCTCTGTGCCGCCTCTGCAGCCACACTTTGCGACAAACCAGAATTGCGCATGGCTCGGAGCAGTCTAAAGGCGTTTACACATTCAATCTCCTTAGGCATCTACAAAAAGCATGCAACATTACCCTATGCTCACCAAATCACAGGTTCAACGCACGTTCTAAGCTTCCTGTAAAATGAACAACCACACTCGTCCCCGCATCACACTGCAAGTTTTAACTAACCCAATCATCCGAGTACTACTGCCCACCTGGGTTGCTACAATCGATTGTGCCGTCTACGCCTGCACAATGCGGCAACTCCACCGACAGTTGTAACATACGAACGCCGCATGGCTACTTGTATACCCTTCTATGTTTCCACGCATGCATGTGTGGTCCAGAAGCTGTTGGGGCTTGTATAGGGGCGTATGCCTCTTAGCTAGTTAGCAGTCATCACCTCACCCACCAAACGCACATATCGTTCCTAAACACCAAACCCTAAGTGGCGCTAAGCTTCAAACGTGCCTCCTCGGGAGCCTGAACAAATCCCCAAACAAACCCCACCAAGGTATGCAAAGCATCCTTCATTCTATCTCTCAAACACACCAAGCAAGCGCCGTTGATTCGACAACGAAGAACGCACGCGTACATTCCGGCAACTACTCCGTCCCATTAAGCACCGACACAAAACCCTGTGGCGATAAGCTTCAAACGTACCTCCTCGGAAGTCTGAACAAATCCCCAAACAAACCCCACCAAGGTATGCAAAGCATCCTTCAATTTATCAATCAAACACTCCAATCAAATGCTGCGGATTCGACAACGAAGAACGCACGCGTACATTCCGGCAACTACTCCGTCCCATTAAGCACCGACGCAAAACCCTGTGGCGATAAGCTTCAAACGTACCTCCTCGGGAGTCTGAACAAATCCCCAAACAAACCCCACCAAGGTATGCAAAGCATCCTTCATTCTATCTCTCAAACACACCAAGCAAGCGCCGTTGATTCGACAACGAAGAACGCACGCGTACATTCCGGCAACTACTCCGTCCCATTAAGCACCGACACAAAACCCTGTGGCGATAAGCTTCAAACGTACCTCCTCGGAAGTCTGAACAAATCCCCAAACAAACCCCACCAAGGTATGCAAAACATCCTTCAATTTATCAATCAAACACTCCAATCAAATGCTGCGGATTCGACAACGAAGAACGCAAGCGTAAACTCCGATCACTACTCCCCCCCATTCAGCGCAAATACGCTATCTAACCAGCACTATTGCACACAAGGCCCAATGCTCACTCAAACATCTCACCTACAACCAGCGAATGCCTGCTAAAACTACTAATGCCATGTCCACTCAGGCTGAGTGCGAAGAAAACAGACTCAACCTAACGGAACAGCACGTCCACATTCCCATGCTAACCTACATAAACTGTTCAAATCACTCCCCCTACTAACAACAAAATGTAATCGACATATTGCTTCAACACCCCAAGCACTAATCATCCATCTCCTAACTCTAGCTGCAACCGCTAACACCTCCCCTCGCATCTCCAATCACAGCCACATAGTACACAAAACGCACATCCACTACAACAAATAACTACTTTCGTTCTGAACACAAAACCCTAACTAGCGATGAGCTTAAAACGCACAGGCTTGGGGAACTGAACAAATCCCCAAACAAGCTTCACCAAGATATGCAGCTCATCTTCCAATCAATCCCTCAATATATCCACGAAATGGCAGCAATGGCAACATCAAACAACACACGCATACACTGCAAGAACTACTCCATCACACCCATCACGCAAATACATTTGGCAAGCACCCCCACTGCCCGCAAACTATCAACACGACCCACCCACCAAGGCAAACATCCAACGAACGCCACCTCAATATACTAATGCCGTTGCCACTCACAGGCTGCGGTTGATGAAAAACAGATCCAACCCAACCGAACAGCAGATCCACACTCCCACGAGAACCTACATATGAACTTCCCAAATCATTCATTCCCTCTACTAACAAAATGTATACGATACACTGGTTCAACGCCCGAAACACTAATCATCCACCTCCTAACTCAATTTGCAACCGCACACCCAACACCTCCCCACGCGCCTCCAGTTTTCACCGCAAAATACATCAAACCACCAGCTACTAAAACAAACACATACATTCGTCCCTAAACACCCAACCCTAAGCACCGATGAGCATCAAACGCAGATGAGCGGTAGCCTGAACAAATCACCAAACAGGCTTCACAAATATATGGAGAGAATCTTTCACTCTACCCCTCAAACACTCAAAGCAACCGCTGCTGTTTCGACAACGAACAACGCGCACGTACACTCCCGTCACTACTCCGTCCCATCCATCACGCAAATACGCTTTTCTAGGAGCACTACTGCACACAAGACCCAATACGCACACACCCATCTCACCACACCAACAAACAGCGCACGCCTGCTAAAAATACTGTCACGTCAACTCACGTCCTGCATCTGAAGAAAACAGACCCAACCCTACTGAACCACACATCCACTCTATACGTTTTGCAAGCATCCCCACTGCCCGCACACCACAAACACCACCCACCTACCAAGGCCAACATCCAATGAACGCTACCTCAATATACTAATGTCGTTACCACTCACAGGCTGCGGTTGACGAAAAGCAGACCCAACCCAACCGAACAACACATCCACACTCCCATCCCAACCTACATACCAACTTCCAAAATCAGTTAGCCTGGTAACACGGTTTCAAAAATACGTCTCTTCTACATTGTTAACATCACTCATCCATATCCTAACTCAATTCGCAACCCCACACCCAATACCTCCCCACGCGCCTCCAGTCACCTACCTCACACTACACCAAACGCATATCTAATATAACAAACTCCTACCTTCGTCCATGAACACCAAAGCCTCAGTAGCTATGAGTTTCAAACGTACAATCTTCTTCTTCTGGAACAATCCCAAGCAAACACCACCAAAACATACAGATCATCTTTCATTCTATCCCACCATAACCCCACACACTGGCCACAAACAAGCATATATTCCCATCACCACACCATCGAATGCATCGCGCAAATACATTTTACAAAGAGCAACAGTGGCTGCACAGCCCAGCACTAAACACCCAACGCAACTCGCCAACAACAAATGACCGCCAGCTAAAACTACTAATATCGTGTTCGCTTACGATCTGATAAAATCCAGACCCAATCCAACAAACCAACGCATCCGCACTCAGATGCCAACCTTCAAATCGACTTCTTAAACAACTCTCCCCACTAAACACAATGTCAACGATACATTGCTCCAACTCCCCAAACGTGAAATAGCCATATTCTAACTCCATCCGCGCACCCACACCCAACGCCTCCCCAAGCGCTGCCAGTCACCAACTCACAATACACCAAACGCATACCTGCAAACACAAGCATGCACTGTCGTCCCTAAATACTGAATCCTACGTCGCAAAGAGTTTCAGGTGCACAAGCTCGGGAACCTAAACAAGTCCCCAAACAAACAAAACCAATATATCGCATCGTTCATTCTATCCCCCAATAACTCCACACACTGCACGCTACTTCAACATCAAACAAGACGGGCATATGCCTTTATGACTACACCAATGCATGCGTCTAGCAAATACCCTTGCAAACAGCAGCACTGGCCGCAACGCCCAACACAAACCCACCCATCAACGCCAACCACCACCCAATGCCTGCTAAAACTACTATGCCCTGCCCACTCACATCCTGGTGTTCCCGACGAAAAGAACCAATCAAACCGAACAACACATCCACACTCCAATGCCAACCTATAAATCAGCTTGTCTAACCACGCTCCCCAATAACAAGCCAACGATACATTGCTTCAACACTCCAAACACTAATCGTCCACATCCATTCGCCAGTGCACACCCAACAACTCCCCCCGCGTATCAAGTCACCACCTCAATACATCCACTCCCACAAACATCTACCTCCGCTCCTAAACACAAAACCCTAAGTAGCGAAACGCCTCACACGTACCTCCTCAGACAACTGAACAAGTCCCCATACAAACAACCCCAAGACATGCAGTGCAACTTTCACTCTTTCCCGCAGTACCAAACAACACACGTATACAATCCCACCATTACCCCATCGTCTCCATCACGCAAATACGTTTTGCAAGCAACACCAATTCACCCACAAACCTCTGCTGATGAAAGCACACCAAACCCAACCGAACAACACAACCACACACAGATGCTAACCAGCAACACAACTTCCCAAACCACTTCCCCCAACAACCATGTCAGCCATACGTTGCTCCAACACCCCAAACATCACCCCTTCATCCCCTAACACCATTCTCAACCCCACACCAACGCCTCCTCGCGCCTATCCAGTCACCACCTCATAATCCACCAAACAAACATGTACTACTACCACAAGCATCTCCTTTCGTTTCCTAACAACCGAAGAACGGCAGCATATAGTGCTAATGTCGTGTCCACACACAGGCTGCGGTTGGAGAACAACAGACCTAACTTAACCCAACAATACATCCACACTCTCACGCTAGCTTCCCAATCAACTTCCCAAACCAATCACCCTGGTAACACAGTTTCAACAGCAGGCCTCTCCTACACCTGAACCATCACACATCCACCTCATAACTCCACTCCCAACCGCAAACCCAACACCTCCTCCCAAGCATGGAGTCACCACCTCATAATACAACTAACGCGCTTATCCTGGCACAACCATCAACTTCCCTCCTCAATCCGAAAACCCTATGTAGCGACAAGATTCAAACCCACTTCCTGAGGAATTTGAAAAAATTTCCAAACAAACAACAACACATCCAGCGCAAGTTTCATTCTATCCCGCAATAATTCCAAATACTTGCCGCTGCCTCCACACAAAACAACACAAGCATGCTCTCCGATCAAAACTGCATCCAATCCATCATGCAATTATGATTTGCAAGCATCCCCACGGCCCCTAACGCACAATAATAACACAACCATCAAGGCCAACAACCAACGAAAGCCAGTTAAAACTACAAATATCGTGTACACTCACAGGTAAACCAGAAGAATACAGACGCACCCCAACCCAACAACACATCCACACTCTCATGCCAATATACAAATCAACCTCCCCAAATACTCCTCCTACTAACATATGTCAGTGATAGATTACCCCAACCCCCCAAATATCACCTCTCCACCTTCAACATCCACGCGCAACCGCACACCCAACACCACCCACCAAAGCATCTACTCACCCACCTCACAATACACCAAACACACATCTAATATAACAAACATCTACTTTCGTCCCTAGACACCAAAGCCTCAGTAACTAGGAGTTTCAAACGCACCAGCTCTCCGTACTGAACAAATCCCCATACGAACAGCACCAAAACATGCAGATCATCTTTCATTATATCCCACCATAACATCCCATACGGTCCACTGCTTCGCCATATATTCCCATCAATACACCATCGCATGCATCGCGCCAATACGTCTTCCACGCAGCACCACGGCCTGCCCGGCGGCACTAACCACCAAGCGCAGCTCGCCAACAACAAACGACCGCCAGCTAAAACTACTAATATCGTCTAGGCTTACGAGCTGATGAAAACCAGACCCAATCCAACAGATCAACGCATGCACACTCAGATGCCAACCTACAAATCAACTGCCTAAACAACTCCCCCCACTAAACACAATGTCAACGATACATTGCTCCAACGCCCCAAACGTTAACTAGCCATATTCTAACTCCATTCGCAACCCCACACCCAACACCTCCCCACGCGCTGCCAGTCACCAACTCACAATACACCAAACGTTCATCTGCAATCACAAGCATCTACTTTCGTCCCTAAATACTGAACCCTAAGTAACCACGACAGCTTCAGACGCACAGTCTCGGGAATCTGAACAAATCCACAAACAAACACCACAAAGACATGGGGAATTACCTTTTGCAACCAGCCCTACCGGCCACACCACTGCCGAGTGCCCGCAACGCCCAACACAAACCCACCCATCGACGCCAACCACCAAACAACGCCTGCTAAAACTACTATGTCGTGTCCACTCACCAGCTTGCGTTTCCGACGAGCAGAACCAATCCAACCAAACGACACATCCACATTCAAATGCTAATCTACAAATCACCAAACAACGCTCCCCACAAATACAATGTCAACGACACATTGTTCCAACGCCCCAAACACTAAGCGTTCACATCCATTCGCCAATGCACACCCAACAACTCCCCCCGCGTATCGAGTCACCACCTCAATACATCCAAGACTCCCACACACATCTACCTCCGCTCCTAACACAAACCCTAAGTAGCGAAAGGCTTCACACGTACATCCTTAGGATACTGAACAAGTCCCCATACAAACACCCCCAAGACATGCAGCGCAACTTTCACTCTGGTATACAATCCCACAATTACCCCATCGTCTCCATCACGCAAATACGTTTTGCACTCCTACTCCACCCACAAGCAACTACTGATGAACGCAGACCAAACCCAACCGAACAACACATCCACACACAGATGCGAGCCAGCAACACAACTTCCCAAACCATTTCCCCCAACAACCATGTCAGCCATACGTTGCTCCAACACCCCAAATATCACCCCTTTATCTCCTAACACCATTCTCAACTCCACGCCAACACCTCCCGCCTATCCAGTAACCACCTCATAATCCGCCAAACACACAAGTACTACCACAAGCATCTCCTTTCGTTTCGTAACAACCGACAAACGGCAGCATATAGTACTAATGTCGTGACTACTTACTGGCTTGGGCTGATGAACAACGGACCCAATCCAATCGAACAACACATACACAGTCCCATGCCAACCAACAAATCAACTTCCTAAACAAGTCCCGCCACTAACACAGTGTCAACACCACGTTGCTTCAACTGTCAAATATCACCCATGCGTATCCAAACTCCATTCGCAACCCCACGCCCAACACATCGCCAAGCGCTGCCAAGCACCAATTCACAATACACCGAACGCATATCCACAATCACAAGCACGCACTCTCGCCCCCAAGTGCTGAACCCTAAGTAACGAGGAGTTTCAGACGCACAGGCTCGGGAACCTGAACAAATCCACAAGCATACACCACACGTAGCGCACCGTTCACTCTATCCCCCAATGCCTCCGCACACTGCACCCTACTTCAACATCAAACATGTCAGGCATATACTATTACGACTACGCCATGTGTCACGCAAATACCTTTGCAAACACGCAGCACCGCTGCCCACAACGCCCAACACAAGCTCACCCATCAACCACCAGCCAACGCCTGCTAAAACTACCATGTCGCGTCCACTCACCCTCTTGTGTTCCCGACGAGAGGAACCAATCCAACCGAACAACACATCCACACTCAGATGCCAATCGACAAATCAACATGACAAACCACGCTCCTCACTAACCCAAAGCCAACGATTCAATGCTCCAACGCCCCAAACACCACCCATCTACCTCCGAATTCCATTCTCCAATGCGCACCCAACATCTCCCCCCCGAGTATCTAGTCACCACCTCATAAGGCACCAAACACACATCAACTATTACAAAAATCTACTTCCCTCAAGAATCAATCTAGCCACCAACTCATAATACAGTAAACACACATATACTACCAGAAACATCGACTTGCGTCCATAAATGCTCAACCCTAAGTAGCAAAGAGCTTCAGACACAGTTTCGGGAATCGGAACAAATCTCCAGCTTGCGACAACTACTGTCTTGTCCACTCACAGGCTCCAACTGATGAAAATACACCCAACCCAACCCAACAACACGTCCACACCCATACGCCAACCCACAAATCAACTTCCCAAACCACTCTCCCGACCTACACAGTATCAACGATTCATTGCTTCAACACACCATATACACTCCCACCACCTCTACATCGCCTCCATCACGCACTACGTTCGGCAAGCATCACCACTTCCCGCCGGACCCATTACTAACACACCCATCAAGACCAAAAACGAAAGCCAGCCTAAACTACTCTAATGTTGTGTCCACTCACGCCCTTCACTTCCTGAAAAACCGAACCCAATCGCAGAACGCCACACTCAGATGCCAACCTACAAACCAATGTCTTCCTAACTCCACTAACATCCGCACACCCAAGAACTCCCTCCAAGCCTCCAGTTACCAACTCATAATTCACCAAACGCACATCCACTACCACCAACATCTTCCGTTCAGTCACAAAACTTTAAGTAGCGACCTGCATCAAACCCAGATTCTGAGAAATTACAGAAAATATCCAAAAACATAACACCAACACATCGAGCGCATAATTCATCATCCCCGCCAGTAATTCCACACACTCGACGCGGCACTGCTTCCACATCAAAAACAGCACAAGCGTTCGCTACAACCACTACTCCATCGCATCGTAAGGAGCCGCAGTGCCCGCAACGCCCGATACTGACCTACCAATCAAGATCAACCACCAACACAGGCCAGCTTAAACGACTATTGCCGTGTTGTCCTCTCACTTGCTCAGACTGAAGAAAACAGACCCAACCCAATCCAACACATCCACACTCCCATGCTAATCTACAAATCAACTTCTCATTCTAACCGACAACCAACGAACGCCACCTTGAACTACTAATGTTGTGTTGTCCACTCACAGGCTGAACCTGAAGAAAACAAAACCCACCCAACCCAACAACACATCCACACTCTCATGCTAGTCTACAGAAAAGCTCCCTAAGCTATTCCCCCTACAGACACAATGCCACTTCCCTCCCCAATCCGAAAATCCTATGTAGCGAACATTCCCAAACGAACATTCTGAGGAATTGCAAAGCATATCCAAGCAAATAATACCAACGCATCCAACGCATATTTCATTCTATCCCGCAATAATTCCGCACACTCGCTGCTGCCTGCACACCAAACAGCACAAGCATCCTCTCCGACCAAAACGCCAACAAATCCATCACGCAAGTACGACTTGCCCAAATTACTCCTCATGCTGACGCAATGCCAGCGATGCGTTGGCCCAACCCCCAAATATCATCCCTCTACCTTCAACGTCCACTCCCAACCGCCCACCCACCATCAAGCCTCCAGTCACTCACCTCACAATACACCAAACGCGCATCCACAAACATCTTCTTCCCTCCCCAATCCGAAAACCTTATGTAGCGACCTGCCGCAAACGCACCTCCTGAGGAATTTCAAAAAATATCCAAACAAATATGTTCCAAACAAATATGTTCCATTCTACCCCTGAATAAATCCACACACTCGCTACTGCTTCAGCACCCAACAGCCCAAGCGCACTCTCCGACCAACCATGCATCGAATCCATCACGCAAGTATGATTTGCTAGCATCATCACTGCCCCTAACGCCAAATAATAACACATCCCGGCTAACACCCAACGAAACCCAGTTAAACTACAAACGTCGTGCCCACTCACGGGCTGAACCAAAAGAATACAGACCCAACCCAACCCAGCAACATCCACACTCTCATGCCAACGTACAAATCAACCTCCCAAACCAATCACCTTGTTAACACAGTTTCAACAGCATGTCACTCCTACACCTGAACCATCACACATCCACCTCATAACTCCACTCCCAACCGCAAACCCAACACCTCCTCCAAAGCATGGAGTCACCGCCTCATAATACAACTAACGCGCCTATACTGCCACAACCATTTACTTCCCTCCTCAATCCGAAAACCCTATGTAGCAACACGATTCAAACCCACTTCCTGAGGAATTTGAAAAAATGTCCAAACAAACAACAACACATCCAGCACAAGTTTCATTCTACCCCGCAATAATTCCACACACTCGTCGCTGCTTCCACACAAAACAACACAAGCATACTCTCCGAACAAAACTCCATCGAATCCATCACGCAATTATGATTTGCAAGCATCCCCACCGCCCCCAACGCACAATACTAACACACCCATCAAGGCCAACAACCAACGAAAGCCAGTTAAAACTACAAATATCGTGTACACTCACAGGTAAACAAGAAGAATACAGACACACCCCAGCCCAACAACACATCCACACTCTCATGCCAATATACAAATCAACCTCCCAAAATACTCCTCCTACTGACACGATGTCAGCGATACATTGATTGGCCCAACTCCCAAAATATCACCTCTCCACCTTCAACATCCACGCGCAACCGCACATCCAACACCTCCCACCAAAGCATCCAGTCACCCACCTCACAATTCACCAAACACACATCTAATATAACAAACATCTACCTTCGTCCGTGAACACCAAAGCCTCAGTAGCTATAAGCTTCAAACGCACCATCTGCTGGAACTGAACACATCCCCAAACAATCACCACCAAAACATGCAGATCATCTTTCATTCTATCCCTCCACAACCCCACACACTGCACCCTGTTTCAACATCAAACAACACATGCATATATTCCCACCAGTAGTCCATCGCGTGCATCGCGCCAGTACGTTTTGCAGGCATCAACTCTGCCTGCCTGGCCCAGCGCTAACCAACCCTACTAGCCAATAGCGAACGAAAGCCAGCTAAAACTACTAGTATCGTGTCAGCTTACGATCTGATGAAAACCAGACCCAAAGCAACCGAAGACACTCCCATGCTAACAAATCAATTTCTTCTTCTAACCAACAACCGACGAACGCCAGTTTAAACTAATACTATCGAGTCCACTCACAGGCTGAGGCTGAAGAAAACAGACCCAACCCAACCCAACAACACATCTACATTCCCATGCTAATCTACAAATCAACTTCCCCTTCGAACCAACAACCAAAGAACGCCACGTTAACTACTAGTGGAATGACGACTCACGGGCTCAACCTGAAGAAAGCAGACCCAACCCAACCCAACAAGACATCCACACTCCCTTGCTAATCTACAAATCAATTTCTCCTAACCAACAAACAAAGAATGCCACCTGAAACTACTAATGTTGTATCCACCCACAAGCTCCACCTGAAGAAACGAACCAATCCAACCCCACAACACATCCACACTTCCATGCTAATCTACAAATCAACCTAATAAGCCACTCCAACTGCTGACACAATGTCAGCGATGCATTGCCCCAACCCCCCAAATATCACCTCTCCACCTTCTACGTCCATTCACAGCCGCACACCCAACCCCTCCACACGCGACTTCAGTCACCTAACTGACAATGCGCAAAACACAAATCTAATAACGTACACGTTCCTTAAACATCTACACTTGTTAGTAAACACCAAGGCCTCAGGTGCTATGAGCTTTAAACGCACAGGCTCGGGTTTCTGCAAAAATCTCCAAACAAACACCACCGAGACATGCAGATCATCTTTCGTTCTACCTCATAATAACCCCACACACGGCCCACTACTCCAACATCAAATAACACTGGCATATACTCCCACCACGGGCATACACTCCCACCACTAGATCGAACCCACCACGCAATTATGATTTGCAAGCATCGCCACTGCCCCTAATGTACAATAATAACACAACCAGCAAGGCCAACAACCAATGAACGCCAGCGAAAAGTACGTATGTCGTGTCCGCTCACAGGTTAAGCATATGAATACAGACACATCCCAACCCAACAACACATCCACACTCATGCCAGTGTATAAGTCAACCTCCCAAAATACTCCGCCTACTGACACATGTCAGTGATACATTGACCCAACCCCCCAAATATCGCCCCTCCACATTCTACAACCACTGGCAACCCCACACCCAATACCTCCCACAAAAGCAACCACCTCAGAATACACCAAACACACACATCTAACAAACATCTACTTTTGTCCCTAAACGCCGAAGCCTCAGTAGCTAGTTGCAAACTCACCAGCTCGTCGAACTGAACAAATCCCCAAACAAACACCACCAAAACATGCAGATCATCTTTCATTCTATCCCACAACAACACCCCATACTGTTTGGTGTGAGACCGATAGCGAACAAGTACTGTGAAGGAAAGATGAAAACGACTTTGGAAAGAGAGTTAAAAGTGTCTGAAATTGCTGAAAGGGAAGCCACTGAAACTTTAGTGTCTTCAGGGTGCGAGTGGATATTAGTTGTATGCTCTCTAAATCTCCGTTATACGGGTTTTGAGGGTTTCTACTGCTGTTGTCCATTTTGATCCCTGTTGGTTGGTCAGCATCATTCGCGGGCTTTTATATCCTTCACTTGTTTCGGTCTAGTACACTGCACTTGTTTCGGCATATATTCCCATCAATACACCATCAACACCGCGCAAATACGTCCTGCACGCAGCACCACTGCCTGCCCGGCAGCACTAACCACCAAGCGCAGCTCGTTAACAGCAAACGATCGCCAGCTAAAACAACTATCCTGTCGGCTTACGAGCTGATGAAAACCAGACCCAATCCAACAGACCAACGCATCCACACTCAAATGCCAACCCACAAATCAACTTCTTAAACATCTCTCCCCACTTAACACAATGTCAACGATACATTGCTCCAACGCCCCAAACGTTAACTAGCCATATTCTAACTCCATTCGCAACCCCACACCCAACACCTCCCCACGCGCTGCCAGTCACCAACTCACAATACACCAGACGTTCACCTGCAATCACAAGCACCTGCTTTCGTCCCTAAATACTGAACCCTAAGTAACCACGACAGCTTCAGACGCACACGCTCGGGGCCCTGTACAAGTTCACAAGCAAACACCACAAAGAGATGTAGCGCATCATTCACCCTATCCCCCAATACCTCCACACACTGCATCCTACTTCAGCATCAAACAAGACAGATACTTCTACGAAAATGCATGCATCACGCAAACAACTTTTCCAAACAGCCCTACCAGCCTAACCACTGCCGAGTGCCCGCACGCCCAACACAACCCCACCCATAAACGCCAACCACGAAACCAAAATCTGCTAAAACTACCATGTCGTGTCCACTCACCAGCTTGCGTTCCCGACGAGCAGAACCAATCCAACCAAACGACACATCCACATGCAGATGCCAATCTACAAATCACCAAACAACGCTCCTCACTAACACAATGCCGACCATACATTGCTCCAACGCCCCAAACATCAACTTTCCATCAACTATCCCCATTCGCAACCGCACACCCAACATCTCCCCCCCGCGTATCGAGTCACCTCAATACATCCACTCCCACAAACATCTACCTCCGCTCCTAAACACAAAACCCTAAGTAGCGAAACGCTTCACACGTACCTCCTGAGGAAACTGAGCAAGTCCCCATACAAACAACCCCAAGGCATGCAGCGCAACTTTCACTCTTTCCCGCAATACCAAACAACACAAGTATACAATCCCACAATTACCCCATCGTCTCCATCACGCAAATACGCTTTGCAAGCAACACCAATTCACCCACAAACCTCTGCTGATGAAAGCACACCAAACCCAACCGAACAACACATCCACACACAGATGCTAACCAGCAACACAACTCCCCAAACCACTTCCCCCACTAACCATGTCAGCCATACGTTGCTCCAACGCCCCAAACACCACCCCTTCGTCCCCTAACACCATTCGCAACCCCACACCAACACCTCTTCCCGCCTATCCAGTCACCACCTCAATACAACAAACGCACATTTACTACCACAAGCATCTCCTTTCGTTTCCAAACAACTGACGAATGACAGCATATAGTACTAATGTCGTGTCCACTCACAGGCTGCGGTTGATGCACAACAGACCTAACCCAACAACACGAGCACATCCACATTCGCATGCCAACATACAAAGCAACTTCCCAAAGAATTTCGCTCACTAACACAATGCCAACACCACGCTGCTTCAACTCCCAAATATCACCCGCCCATCTCCAAACCCCATTCGCAACCGCACACCCACGCACCTCAAGTCACCACCTCATATCAAACGCACATGTACTACAACGAACATCTACTTTCGTCCCTAAATACTGAACCCTACGTCGCGCAGAGCTTCAGACGCACACGCTCGGGGAACTGAACAAGTCTCCAAACAGCACAAGTACATGTAACGCATCCCGCAATAACTCCCTACACTACACCCTACTCCAATATCAAACAAGACACGCATAACCTCTACGAGTACACTAATGCATGGTTCATCACGCAAATACCTTTTGCAGACAAAACCATTGCCTGCAACGCCCAACACTGACCCCCCAATCGACAGACGCCCACTCTGAACCTTCTGTTCCCGAAGAGCAGAACCAATTTTACCGAACACCACATCCACACTACAACGCCAATCTGCATGTCAATATCCCAAACAACTCCCGCACTAACACAATCTCGACACAACGCTTCTTCAACGCCCAAAACATCACCCTCCACCTCCTAACTCCCTTCGCAGTCCCACACCCAACACCTCCCCAAATACCCCCAGCCGCCGCCTCAATACACCAAACGCGCATCTAATACAACAACTACCTACGTTCCAACCTAGACAGAAAACCGTGCGTAGCGAAGAGATTCAAACGCGTAGGATGAAGAAACTGAACGAACAAACCTCACAAAGACATCCACCGCATCTTTGTGTGAAGTTGTTGAGGGGTTGCAACAACTTTACACAATGAGCGCTTCTTCAACAGCAAACAATACAAGCAAACAATCCGATAACTAGTCAAAAGCAAACACCTCTTCCAAACACTCCACGCAAGACCCAATACTGATCCACCAACCAACTCCAGCAAGCACCTCTTCCAGGTGGTAACACTCCACGCAAGACCCAATACTGATCCACCAACCAACTCCAGCAAGCACCTCTTCCAGGTGGTAACACTCCACGCAAGACCCAATACTGATCCACCAACCAACTCCAATGACAAACGAAAGCCAGCTTAAACTACTGTCGTGTTGTCCACTCACGACCTGAGGCTGAACCAAACAGACCCAAAACAACCAAACAACACATTCACGCACCATGCTAATGGACAAATCAACTTCTTCTAACCAACAACCAACGAACGCCAGCTTAAACTGCAACCGTCGTGTCCACTGTGGGCCTGAGGCTGAAGAAAACACACCCATATCAACCCAACAACGCGTCCACACTCCCATGCTATTCTACAACTCAACTTCTTCTAACGAACAACCAACGAACGCCAGCTTAAACTGCAAGAGTCGTGTCCACTCACTGGCTGAGTCTGAAAAAAACAAACACAACCCAACCCAACAACACATCCACACTCCCATGCTAATCTACAACTCAACATCTAACCAACAACCAACGAAAGCCACCTAAAATACTAATCCCGTGCCCCCTCACAGGCTGAGGCTGAAGAAAACAAACCCAGCAAAGCCCAACAACATATCAACACCCCCCCCATGCTAATCTACAAACCAACTTTCCCTAGCAACACACGCATACTCTTCCGACTAGCACTCCATCGCATCACGACACAAATACGTTTTTTAGACAGCAACACTTTCCCCAAGACCCAATACTAACACGCCCATCAAGCCCAAACAAACCAACGCCAGATTAAGCTACTAATGCAACAATCGAACTCCAAATTAAACTACTACTACCGTGTCCACTCACGCTCTCCTCTACCTGAAAAACAGACCCAATCCAATCGCACAACACATCCACACTCATATGCCAACCTACAAATCAATCACCCATCCATCTCCTAACTCCACTAGCAACCGCACACCCAACACCTCCCCCAAAAATCTCCAGTCACCAACTCATAATACACCGAATGCGAATCTACTACGACAAACATCTACTTCCCTCTATAATCAGAAAAAGCTAAGTGACGCCGAGCTTCAAACCCTAATTCTGAGCAATTTAAGAAAAATCTCCGAACAAATAACACCAACACATCCAGCGGATATTTCATTCTTTTCCGCAATAATCCCACACACGTGCCGCTGCTTCCACATAAAAAGCAAGGCACGCATACTCTTCCGACCAGTACTCCATCGCATCACGACACAAATACGTTTTCTAGACAGCAACACTTTCCCCAAGACCCAATACTAACACGCCCATCAAGCCCAAACAAACCAACGCCAGATTAAGCTACTAATGCAACAATCGAACTCCAAATCAAACTAATATTACGGTGTCCACTCACGCTCTCCTCTCCCTGAAAAACAGACCCAATCCAACCGCACAACACATCCACACTCATATGCCAACCTACAAATCAATCACCCATCCATCTCCTAA